GCAGGGTGTTGTTGCCACCTCAATGTTGGACTAAGGCATCTAGCGAGTCTTCAGGGAGCTTACGTGGTCCTTTTGACGCAAAGAAAGGGCCGAGATCTGTTACCGTGCCCGGATGTCCCTATCCAAGTGACAAACGTGCTGAGGTTCTTCTAAACTGCAGCTCTCTTTGCCAAACGCCACACCTGGGCGCACAGCTGTGGCACACAGCTGCCGGATCCAGCCCTGCCCTGACACTTGCGTCCCTGGGACGCCCCCGGCACGGTTGGAGACAGCATCTCCGGGCTGCGAGCAGCGTGGCACCCGCAGGGAGAGGAGGAGGAAAATACCCCGGCGCCCTTGCCCCGGCAGTGGGGATGGGGAGGAGGAGAGGAGACCCTGGGCGTGCTGACCCGAGCAGTGGGATTTCATCCGCGGAGCATCATTCGGTGCCAGGCTCCGCCGCTGCTAAGCGCTTGGTTCCCGTAACCAGCTCCGTGTTCCCTTAGCAGTTATTTGTGAGTAACCAGTAACGTCACCCATCAGCTGAAGGTTTCGATGAGGTTTGTCTGACATTCAGGAAAACACGTCTGGCAGAACATGGCCTAATGCTGATGAGGCTATTTCATAAAAAAAAAAAAAAAAAAGTAAAAATGCAGTTTTTTCCAAAAGTGAAGTTTTCACTGTTGGCTCATGGGAGAGAATTAAGGCGTCAGGCTTCTGAGCTCTGCGCTGAGCCTGATCAGGCGGTGATTGCGATGGGAAATGTAGCTTGATATTCCTCTAATTTGAAACGAAATGGGTTTGATTAGTTTAATAAACTCAAACGAAACACTTGTCTTCCGACAACATCAAGTGTTTCTTTTTAATTAACGCTTTTAAAAGTTTTCCTGTTTCTGAATACGTTTTCTCAGAAATCAGTCTTCAGAAAGAGCGTGATTTGTAACAAGCCACAGTATCTCCTGCCTGGTTTTGGAAGGCAGCGTAGGGAAGGCAGGGCTTGCCCAGTCCTTTTGCAAGCTTTTAGGTGCCATTTGCCGAAGGTTTGTGCAGCACACGGAAGTCTAGGGCCCATTTCTATTTGAAACATCTAGATGCTACTGGAATAAAAACACTAAATAGTAAGTTATATGGTGTAATGCTGTCCCTACAATAAAGTCACAGATAACATTCCCTCTTTAGGGTCCCACTTCAGTGTGCTAACATTACTTAAAGCTTACAAGTCTTCTGAATGGGTCTCTCACTGCTAGTATCCTCAGATACTGCACAA